AAAGGTTTATTAATGTTTTTTTAAAAAAAAATAATTTTAATAAATCTTTCCTAAGAGTAGTTTTTGAAGTGAACTGTACATTAGGATTATGTACAACCTTAATATATTGTTACCAATTAGGATGCTCTACAAAACTAAGTAATTGATCTAAAGCAGCTATCATTCGCGCAACTTCCATATGATCTACTTGCGGATCGTATTTCCAAGTGGTTAGACCACCGGTTGCGTGATCAAAAGATAATTGTGTTTGGCGGAGTTCAGGTCCGCCGGATTGGCTAAGCTTTTGAAGACACTTTTCGGAGTGTCTTCTCAAGTGTGTGGTGCCGTGAATAGTGTCACCTTGTAATTTAGATAAATGTTGCGATAAAATCCTATGTATGAAAATAGCTCTACGCAAGTACACGCAATCGCACAAGTAATATAGTAATGAGTAAAAGTATCGTCTCCACAGGGACTGAGTTAATAAGGAATTGATTACAAAAATCAGTTGTGCTAAAGTGATCGAGAATGATTCGAATGCCAAATTGATATTGATTAAGTAAAATAAACGAGTAAAATAAACGGATGTGATTGAAATGCAAACAAGTGGTAAAACTCAACAGGATCTAAGCTCTAAACTGTGAATCAATGATGGTTAAGGGCTTGGATTACTGATTTCCCCTCGGTTGCAACTCTGGCCACGTTTTGCTATAGGATTGCTGTAGCAAAGTTCATCCAGTCAACCTAAAATTCTGCATAATCATCTTCCGACAGATCTATGCTTATAGTTCCTTAAACCAAGACCAACATATTCCTATGCACTTTAGTTTACCAAACCTGAAGTTAAGCACCAATTTTAATAGGTTGTACAAGACAATAATATATTCCTATACTATTCCCTTATATTATCCAAGCTTAATCTAACTAAACTAACCTTTCCAGAATTAGTTAAGTTTATATTTTCCACTAAATGATGGCATGTCACTTAACAGAAATTAGATGATATTATACTTGAATAAACAGGATGAAGATTACGCAAGCAATTAGAATAGCAAATAAATCTTCATTGCAACTTTGGTTCCATCAATAATCCTAGCTAAAGAATTTAGCTCATGTTTAGTTCAACTTCCTGCTGTACTCTATTCTTTTCTCTCCTCTCAGCTCGTACCAAGAATTCTGTGCGCCTCTGTCTCTGTCTCTGGCTGCCTGGTCAGTACTCTTCTTTTTCCTTTTATATTAGGGCAGGATGAGGTACTCTAATTACATGTGTCCGCCTCAGAGCTAAAACTGATGGTCCCCTCCTTAGTGCTCTTACAGCTGTCCCCTCATGTTAGAGTCGGCAATTTGGACCACTGCCAGCTGTACATGAAAACAAACTTCACTAGCTTGCACCTTTTTGGTTGCATGTGCGTTGCTCTAGCTTTGTTGCAGCAACGGGTTCGTTCCTGCCTTCACTTCCTTTACCGTGCTTTTCTTTCAAATTGCTTTTACCAACACTGCCCTGTTGTTTTCCTGCACTAATTACCCAAAGTCAACACACCTGTATTGAACATGAGGACTAAATCCATGTTATAACGAGATTGCTCCACAAATATCAACCTTCTATCAACTAAACAAAAACTAACAAATGTTATACAAAATACTAACACTAAGGCATTTTACCTTGAGAAAATAAACAATTACTAAGTCTAAAAGTATGCTAAATAACTCTATTTCATCGAGTTATCAATAAACAATATTTACACTGAGCTATATGTTTAGTGTTACCTTCATTGTCGATCTTCTCAATTGTGTCAAAGTGATCCCAAACTGTCGAGGTGCGCTTGCATTTTCTCCTGGAGGCTGCAACACTTGCAGACGCAGTCGCACTTGCACTCGCCGTTTCTCCACGCCCACCACCACCATTGTGACCACGACCTCCAGTACGCCCATCATGGCTCAAATTATTAGATTCCTATGTAACAAATTCATTAGTGGGAAATTGCCCTTCTTCCACGTGTTGGGCATCAATGGGAATACCAGTATAACCAAAAGAATCAATTATAAAAAAATAAGAGCGATTTGAGAGAGAGCTTTAGGATAATGCGATAGTTTTTAGAAAAATTGTGAGAGCGATTTGAGATATTGAGAGAGATTGAGAGAAATTGAGAGAGATTGAGAGAGATTGAGAGAAATTGAGAAGGATTGAGAGAGTTTGAGTGAAGAAAATGTGTGGGGGATGAGGGGTATTTATAGGAAAATGTTTGGGTTAAAAAATTAATTTTTTCCCCCAAATTCGGATCCAATGGCTACTTTTGTTTTCGGCGGGTCGGGTTCGGGCAGAAATTCGGGCAACGGTCAAAAAACTAGCTGTTGCACCAGGCTTTTTGGGGTTCGGGCTCCAACGGTCGAAAATTTGACCGTTGGTCGGGTTTTCAAGCAGTTCGGGCAGGTCGAGCAATTCGGACAAATCGGGCTTGGCCGAAAAAATTCAAAAAAATTCCAGCGGACGACAGTTGACGGCGACAACACGGCGGCGGGCTATGGTGTACTGTCCATTTTCGGGCTGCCCGAGCCCGAAAATGTAGTGTTGGACGGGCCGGCAATTGGGCCTGCCTGCTGAGCCCGAAAAATTTGGGCCTCGGGCCGGCCTGCTGGCCTAAAGTTCCAACACTAGTTTGGATCATACTCAGATTCCTAAATCCATACAAGAAGCCTTTAAGATACCGGAATGGAAGGCGGCTGTCAATGAAGAAATTCGTGCACTGGAAAAGAATGGAACATGGAAATCACAGAGCTATCTCCTGGAAAGCCTCCTGTAGTCTGCAAATGGATCTTGATCGTCAAGTACAAAGAAGATGGAAGTATCGATCGATTCAAGGCTCAGCTCGTTGCAAAAGGATTCACACAATCCTATGGAATCGACTATGAAGAAACCTTCGCTTTGGTAGCCAAATTGAATACAGTTTGAGTTCTCCTGTCTTTGGCTGCAAATTTAGATTGGCCACTCCACTAATTAGATGTCAAGAATGCTTTCCTCAACGGAGACTTAGCTGAAGAAGTGTACATGAATATTCCTCCTGGATTCGAGACACAAGCAACAGTTAACAAAGTCTGCAAGTTGAGAAGATCTTTGTATGGACTCAAACAATCACCAAGGGCTTGGTTCGACAATTTTTACAAGAGTGATCAAGCAGTATGGTTATTCACAATGTCAGACAGATCACACACTCTTTGTTAAACACTCACCTGAAGGGAGGGTTGCCATTCTTATTGTATATGTGGATGATATTATTTTAACAGGTGATTATGAGTAGGAGATCAACATTCTGAAGGACCTGCTCGCTAAAGAATTTGAGATCAAAGCCGTGGGAAGCCTCAAGTACTTTCTCGGGATGGAGATAGCTCGATCAAAAGCAGGCATTTTAGTCTCTCAAAGGAAATGTGTTATGGATCTTTTAAAAGAAACAAGAATGCTCAGATGCAAGCCAACAGATACTCCCATGGACTCAACTACTAAACTAGGAACCAAAGAAGAAAGTGCACCGGTTGATAAAGGTAGATATCAGAGACTTGTGGGAAAGCTCATATATTTATCACACACAAGACCTGACATCGGTTTCTCTATTAGTATGGTAAGTCAGTTCATGAATAATCCAAATGAAGAGCATATAGAGGCAGTCTATAGGATCCTGAGGTATTTAAAACTAACACCAGGAAAGGACTTGTATTTTAGAAGGTCACCAGACAAAGATATCAAGATATACAGTGATGCTGATTGGCTGGATCATTAAGAGACCGAAGATCAACCTCTAGCTACTACACATGTATGGGGAAATTTAGTCACATGGTGAAGTAAGAAACAATCTGTTGTGTCAAGGAGCAGTGCAGAAGCCGAATTCAGAGCTATGGCGCATGGTATATGTGAAGAAATGTGGCTGAGAAGACTTCTAAAAGAGTTGAGGATCATGATTGAAGAACCTATGAAGATGTTCTGTGACAATCAGTCAGCTATTAGTATCGCGAAGAATCCAGTGCATCATGATAGGACAAAGCATGTGGAGATTGATCGCCACTTCATAAAGGAGAAGATAGAAGGAGGAGTAATTAAGTTACTACATTTGCCAACTTGTCTTCAAACAGCTGGCATTCTTACTAAAGCTCTACCAAGGAAGAACTTCGAAGACTTGAGCTCCAAGCTAGGCCTATCAATAGTTACAGCCTAGCTTGAGGGTGATATGTTACCCGATTTCCTTAGATTAGAATTTTCCTCTTTTTTGTAGTTACTGAAATTAGGATATTCGGTAGGATATTTTCCCTAATTACTAGATGAACCTCCATCTATAAGAAGGGCTGTAATATACGTTTCTAAGCAGAGGAATAAAGTTAATCTTCTTCAATTTCCTCACCTACGAAATGACGAAGTTGGATTTTCACTTCATTGGATCAAGGATCAACGTAGTTTTATTAAAATGATGAAGTTGGGTCTTTACTTCATCGGATCAAATTAGTCTTATTAATTGATGGTATGGGAAAATGAGCATCAATAAATTATTTTTATGAGATATGTATATCATGATCTCATGCTCAAGCCATGCATGATGCCTCCATACTAACTTGAACGTTACTCAAGGATTGATCGATCATGTTCAAGTTTATTACACACAGGGGTTTCATCCTTTTAACGATTACCCCCAAGAATCCATGCAGTGGTTCTAATTATTATTTTTTGAGTTGACCTAATGCTGTTTAAATAGCCGATAAATGGAACCTATACGCTTATGCTGTTTTCTAAAAAATTTATTTATTTTATCAAATTATTTCCTTTTTCTATCCTTGAAGGATCATGTTTTTCTTCAGTTCTTTAATATCTAGTTGTTCATCAAATGCTACATCCTGGTATTCATGACTTACAGGCAACATCATCTTTTTACGACTAGCTTGTGGATGAAAAGAAGATCCTTAAATGTATTTCTAACATGAGTTCTATATTTATAGTACATAATGAACTCATCTAAGACCAATAACTTGTGTTCACGTAGGTTATATCAAAGTTAACAGATGGGAGGGCCACTCATATACCATACCGGGACTCTAAATTGACCAGGCTCCTCCAGTCCTCATTAAGTGGTCATGGGCGTGTATCTGTAAGATTTCGCATTTATATTCCTGCAATTTACCTGGGTGGTGTTCTAGATTACTACTACTACGACTACTTACCATCATGTTCATCAGTATTATTTAGTTATAATTTTCTCATATGTTTACATTGCCCAATTTACAGCTCATTTGTACCGTTACTCCTTCATCAAGCAATTCAGAGGAGACTCACAATACGTTGAAATTTGCACACCGGGCAAAACACATAGAGATTCAAGCAGCACAGAACAAAGTTTCTCTCTTTTTTTCTTTCTTTTCTTTTCTTTTCTTTTTTTCCCTTTTCTCTCTTTGGAATTTGTTTTTCAAGTTTATTTTCCTGAAGAGCTTCTGTGATCCTGCAGATTATTGATGAGAAATCACTTATTAAGAAATATCAAAACGAGATTCGTTCTTTAAAAGAAGAATTAGATCAATTGAAGCGGGGTATTGTCACAGTTCCTCAGCTGAAAGATATTGGGGATGAAGACATCGTCGTCCTAAAACAAAAGGTGCATCCTTATTCTTATCATGCCTTGGTTTCTGGGCTTTTCCTAGGCAGCTCAGGGCAATCCTTGAATGCTTCCATAGATAATGAGTGTTCTATGATGATATTTAATGAGGCTAGTCTTCTTAATTGCCAGTAGTATTCTAGCTAAATGTTGGCGGGTAAATAAATTGTACAAATTGTACGATGGCCAAGAGCATTTTATCAAAATTTATCTTGAGGGTGCTGAATTCTCCAGTGTTCTTTTACATCTCTATTTCTTGGCTTTCCAACCAAAATTGGATTGGCAACAAAATGCTTTACCATTTTTCTGCGGCTCTAAATGATAAGGTAAAGGTGTTGAGTCCACACAAACATGATAACAGATAAAAGTAGTCGACTAAATTAGAACCTGAAGTTTTTCTTGTGGGAACATAGCACCTTGTAATTCAGTCAGTTGCAACATTCTTTAACTGTATAAGTGGTACATCATCTTCAAATTAACGGACTCATCTGACTTTAACCTCATTATCTGGTGTGATGTAAAGCTAGAAGATGGTCAGGTCAAGCTGCAATCAAGATTGGAACAAGAAGAAGAAGCTAAAGCTGCTTTATTGGGGAGAATTCAACGGTTGACAAAATTGATCTTGGTGTCCACAAAGGCAACACAATCATCCAGAATTTCTCAACGACCTGGTCCTAGGAGACGACATTCCTTTGGTGAAGAGGAGGTTTGCCTGTGTTCCTCCAAAATGTTTATTTATATCATTGTGATCTAATTTTGCATTTGATTTGAGAAGTTTTCCTTGAATACCATGGCATTCTCAGATGATTTATTGTACTATTGTTTGAGTTAATTGTAATTACCAGCTTAAACTTATAGCTTGCATACCTACCACACAAAAGGCGGGACTTGATCGTAGATGATGAAAACATTGAGTTGTATGTACCTATTGAGGGGAATGCTGAATCAACTGATGACACACTAAAGGAGAAGAAGACGCGGAAGCATGGACTATTAAACTGGTTAAAGCTACGGGTATGCGTTATTAGGATGTCAGGTTCTTTTATATGTTGCTTGTTAGCTCTTGTCAATTTAGTTGTCTTGAGCCTTTCTTTTATCCTTTTCTTGAGCAAACACCTTACAGCACTCAAATTTTCTTTTTGATGTATGTTACCACACAATATTTATGATTTACTTCAATGTGCCTTTGTGGCATTTAAGCTTAATTTTGAAGCTTGTGTACTCTTTTCTTTTTGTGGTTAGAAACGAGATAATGGTATGGGGACTTTAACAAGTACTAGTGATAAATCAAGTGGAGTGAAGTCTGTCAGTACACCATCAACTCCTCAAGCAGAAAATTTTCATTCAGAACCCAGACATTCCCATTCATTACCTATGGAGAGCCTCATGTCTGCAGACCATTTATCCGGTGCTAGAGATGATAGAGAAGATCAGGATAATTTGTTCGACGAAGAGACTCCTCTGGTTTGTGATTATCTTGTCAAGAACTGGCATATCTCTCTTACGTTGTGTTCCCACATGATAGCATTTTTTCCTTTTCGTTTTTGGGCACGAATAGCATGATCCGGATAAAGCTCCTCTCACTTGCTGTGCACGTATGCACTAGAGTAGTTGCAACATCATTTTGGCAAAGGGAAATTACAAATTGTGTATTTGGAAATTTAAAAGGAAAGTTGTTAGCAATAAGATTTGTGTTCGCTTCCAAAAAAAAAAAAAAAAAGAAAAAGAAAAAGAAAAAAGGTCAATTCAAGTACTTGTATCTTATTTCTATTTTTCTTTCTTTATTTTTATATATATTTATTTTCCAGACAAGCATAAAATCCATCGATCAGATAGAGCTTTTAAGGGAGCAGCAAAAGATCTTGTCTGGAGAGGTGGCCCTCCACTCAAGTGCTTTGAAGCGGTTGTCTGAGGAGGCTGCAAGAAACCCCCAGAAGGATCATATGAATGTAATTATTTTGTGTCCCTATCACATCTGTTTTTAGCTGCGCTTAATGTGCCTTAGATCTTCACTCTTGTGGCGTTTCTGTTATTAAGGAGGAGATTAGGAAGCTAAAAGACGAAATCAAGGCAAAGAACGAACAAATAGCTTTGGTAGAAAAGCAAATTGAGGATTCCACGATTCCTTCACACAAAAAAATGGATTCCTTGGACATGTCACAAGTAAGTTTTTGCTTCTGCCATTAGATTGGCTGTACAGTGTCATTGACGGCTTGATGCTTTCCCTCTATTGTATATGTGTTTGTTTTATTTATTAATTTATTTTCCCTCCACTGTTTCTTGTTTATGCTACAGTCTATTGCTGAACTGAAGGCACAGTTGAATGAGAATTCATTTGAACTTGAGGTGATCAATTGTACACACTTTGATCTGAAAACACGTACATGCATGCAAATATATGTTTCATGTATTATGCATAATATGTACAGGGTACCGCACATATAGATACATCCAAATATTCAAAACCACTTTTTATCCTTTGAAGAGCCTTGACAATCTTTTGAACAAGGTTGGTAATAAAAATATTGATGAGTGTCACCCCGGATAAATTAGTGTCATCAAGAAAAAGTGATGATAAATGTAAATAATGTAACTCCTTAAAATTTACATTTTTTTGTTGTCTTAATCTGGTTAATGCAATCATCCAATAGGTAACTTGACGCACAATGGGAGGCTAGAAACCCCCAAGTTAATTTTCTAATGTGTCTCTGTTTTTGTCACTTAAAAGTAAAATTTTGATGATTCCTGGTTAAAAATTTAAACTACAAGAATGAAAGGACCAAAAAGGGCATGATCTATTTGGGGTCATTGATAAAAAGGGTTATACGATGATTTCAGCTATTATCTGGTGCGCATTGCCTTATTATCTTATTTACAGGTTAAAACTGCTGATAATCGTGTAATTCAAGAGCAACTGAACCAAAAGGTACCACTGACTCTAATTTTAGATCATTTCATTTACTTTAGTTTTGTTGACTCTTGACCATTGAGATTCCTGTGTGACTTTTTGACAGATCTATGAATGCGAAGCACTGCAAGAAACAGTTGCTTCCCTGAAACAGCACCTCTCTGAGGCATTGGAACAGAGAAATTTCAGCCCTGTAGTGAGTCATCCACAAAATTCCATTGAAACAAAAAGCTTGTCTGGAGAATTTTGTGCAGACAATGGCAATTCGGCAACGAAAGATAATAACAACATTTTACTTTTACGAGCAAAGGTCTTTCCTCTCTTCCTTCTAGTTCCTGATCAGTGTCAAATTCAAATTATCTTCCCTTTTACTACATCCCTGAGGGAGAATAATGGATCACAACTTATTTCAGTGTAAATTTCCTAATTGATTTTGTACAAGTAACCATAAAAAATTTAGACCTTAAAGAATCCAATCAAACCTTACAGGTAAAAGTTTCAAGTCCTTTCTTTGAAGTGATATTTTCCCTTGATTTTTTGAGAAGTTATTTCCAAAGAACAGATTTTGTGACATTGTACAACTTTTATTCCTTCATTCTTTCTTACACAAAGTACTAGTTATCAGGTTCAAAAGCCCAATAATTATCTCGTTAAGGTTTCTTTGGCAGTATAAACTTTTAGAAGTAAGATGACATTTCAAGCTCTTGTTTTTGTTTGAACCAGGAAACTGAGATTGAAGAACTGAAGCAAAAGTTTGCCGAACTAACATTGACAAAGGAGCAGCTAGAAGTTCGGAACCAGAAACTGGCAGAGGAGAGTTCATATGCCAAAGGTTTAGCCTCTGCCGCTGCTGTTGAGCTCAAGGCATTGTCAGAAGAAGTTGCCAAACTCATGAACCACAACGAGAAACTAACTGCTGAGCTGGCCGCATCGAAGAACTCCCCCACCCAGCGTAGAAGTGGCGGTATGGTCAGGAATGGCCGAAGAGATGGTCCAAATAAACGGAATGACCAAGGCGGGAATGTCTCGGAAATTAAGAGAGAACTGGCCATGAGTCGTGAGAGAGAGCTTTCATACGAGGCTGCTCTCGCGGAGAAGGATCAGAGAGAGGCTGAGCTCCAAAGAAAGGTCGAGGAAACCAAACAAAGAGAAGCTTATCTTGAAAATGAGCTTGCTAACATGTGGGTTCTTGTGGCAAAGTTAAAAAAGGCACAAGGGACTGAAAGCGACGTTTCTGAATCAACAACAGAGACTAGGAAATCTGATGGTTTTGGGTTGTGATGTGATAGAATGTTGATAATTTGTGGGGTTTCTTTAGGATCTAAGAGGAAAGGGCTTTCGATTGGATTGGTTTGAGAGAGAGAGGGAAGAATGGGAGTGCGTGTGTACAAAATTGTGTTGTTCATTGCAAAAGGGTTATCTTGCTTGTGTATACAAAAGATGGCTCCTTTTTTTTTTTTTTAAATAATTCACGTGTTTTTCTTCTCATTTGCTTTGTTAGCGTTCTGTCTTTCTCCAATGCAAACATTATCTATTGACGGAAATTAACAGGCTTCTTCCATTCATGAACGAATTTTGATGAGAATTTCCCAAGAGAATTTGGTTCACTTTATGAACAATGCAACGACGTAAACCTAAAACGGTTGTCTCGGCTAACATAATTATGGGACTTCTATGTTGTAGACGCCAACTTTTCTTCACTTATACATCCGCGTTTTATTACCGTTTGATTTAAGTAATGTGGTCGGGAAATCCCGTCCCATTTTAATTCCTCAATACAATTTTTAAAGCGCTTATCACCTGCTAGTGTAACTGTTTATATGCCTCCTATCAAACCCACTCTAAAACTCAAAAGGATACAATCACTTGTATACTTTTTGCCCTCTTTTTCTATACTATGAGATAAACTATGAAAGGCATTGAGTTGAAATTGGGTCCTTTTATGGTGCCTTCATGGTACTATATCGGTTCACAAATTTATTGTAATTTATTGTAATTTTATAGTTCGAGTTTGCAAGTTCTAATATAAAATTTACAAGTTATCGTTTCTTTTAAAATTCACAAGTCTATCATAATCTACGCAACTCCACTATTTGAAATTTGCAACTGCCAATGTAAAATTCACTAGTTTTCGTATTTCCCGGCATAATGTTAGGAATTTTTCTCCCGACACCATAGTTTCCGTTGAAATTTAGAGACTCACATGGATAAAATCAACGTGTATCCTTTTGCCTTCTTTTTCTATCCTAGGAGATAACCTACATAAGGCAAGAGAGCGCGCTAGGACTAGAATAAGTCTAAAGAGAAGGTAAAGAAAATTAGGAAATCCGTGTTAAATCATTTAGATAGCATTGAATCCCTATAAGATTGTATGAATTAAGTACTTTGTCAATTGACGCGGTGTTCTATAATTATCTTCTAACTTTGTCGTTAATGTGCATAAGCACATGCTCAACAGATGATCGGTAACATGAATAGAATAGTAATTGATATGTTCCACAAATTCTAGCAATAATAATTTCAGATGTTATAATTAGAATGCGACATGGGTCTATTTAGTTAAAAATCTTCTGTTTAAGGAGTCAGTTAAAAGTTTCTTAATTTACTGATATGAGGACGTGCACGATGGTTTTTAGAGAAAATTACGTAGTTTGTTGATTTTGATATTCTACCGGAATACTCTCTAAAGATTAGAGCCGGAGATTTCCGGTCATCTTTATAAAGGAGAAAAACTAATTTGGAAGGATATTAAAAATATTCTACAACAAGTTATTTTTTGGTAAATTGAGTAACATAGACGCCAATGATATAGATGTAAAGATGACATTTTTAGAGTGATAATTTTGTATTTCTCAGTTCTCACATGATTTTATTGTAGGTAGTATGGGTTTCCAAGAGGTAAATGGGCCTCGCCCAAAGCCTATTCTCTATAATAAAATAAAAAAGGGAAATAGTAGAAAATAGATAATATGAAAAGTTTAAGAAAATATATAGGCCTATTTTTAGTTATAGAAATTAATAGGCCATAACTTGTTAAGTTATGGTTTATAACTAGATAAGTTATGGACAAATTTGTTAAGTTATGGTTCATAGCCAGATAAGTTATGGACAAAAACCGTGATTAACTTGTCAAGTTATGGTTCATAACCAGACAAGTTATGGATGAAAACAGTAGTTTGGCCTATTTATTAACTTATTTAAACTATTGACTTATTAATTTTAATTCATCTCAAGTCTTGGCCTATTTTCCTCTTTCTCCCAAAAAAAAAATTACATGAATAATTGTCTTTATCATCCTATTATTTATGCTATCAAAAAATATTCTAGTAGAATATGAAACGTAATTTGGTAGAATATAAAAATATCCTGCCGAAAAAAAAAAAATTCTGATGGAATATGAAGGATATCCTACCATATATTAATGACACAAATGAAAAATTTTAAATTTATAATAGAAATAAAATAGTGTTATTTTTTTTTAATAATAATATCTCCCGTAACAAAACTTCAACTGAGCTAAGTCACCAAATGAAGCTAAGAGCACGGATGCTACGTGGATGGTAATCGCGAATCCTAAAAAGAAGAAAAAGTAAAACTAGGAAGTTGCAATTAGTCATTAAATTCCTACAAATCAAGGAAAAGATATCTCTGATATTAGGAAATAGGATAATTCAAAAAAAGAAATGATATAATTCCCTATAATGTTATTTATTAAATGTAATTATCATGTAAAGGCTATAAATAGGAAAAATGCCCTAAGTCTCCCATTAAACACCAATCCGTGTATTGACATCTCATAGTGAAAAATAATCCATACACTATTGGACGTAGCTTTTGAATTAATGACAAACTACTTTAAATTTCTTATGTTCATTTATTTTCTTCATTCAATTCGTCTTGTGAATAGTTCTATAGAGATCACATAATTTTTTTAAGAGTCCTTGTTGACGAATTTTTACCATCAATAGATTCAAAAATAACTAAACATAACCTATGATTAGTTATAAGATTGTAAAGATATCCATATATCTGAGGCGTCGATTGCATCTCTATTAGATTGTCTATTAATTACTTCTTTCATTGATACAAATTGTACAGTTATTTTCTAGATTTATCGTCATATGCATGAGTACATTTTGAAAATTGGGTAATTCGTAACGTCAATAGTAGTTTGCATGGCACAAATTCTAGTTGCATGGATAATATTTTCTGACGCTACAATTGTAATGTTGCGTGGATCTATTTAGTTAATTATCATCTTTTTGTAAGTTACAATTTCCTTTATACAATAACTTTAACATAGATTCTAAGGTTATAACTAAGCATCATCGATAAGGCAGAGCAACACCTTTCTGAGGATAGGTAGTCGCCACAACTGATTTTTTTAGTAAAACGCTGTTAAAAAGCCTCCCGGCCCGCATAGTGGGGTGTCCAGAGGTCAGGATGGGTAAAAAATTTACATTTTTATTTATGTTTTGCATTCTAAAATTAATATACGATTTTTAGGAATTAATGCAACAAGCCGCACCATTTTTTGATCAATATTCTATTTTTTATGATTTTCTTTATTTTTCATCTTTGAAAAATAAAATAAAAAAAGCGACTTGCATAATTTGTGTGGTCACTACATGACAATTCGTGGAATGATAATCACTCTTTGATTGTTGTAATTCACATAGGAATATAGTGGGTTAGCAATTGAGGGGATTTTTGGTGTAACTCGGAAGCAAGCATTAAATAAATTAGGAATTTTCAATTGTCAACTCGGATAATAAATATAAATAATGAGAATTAGGGAATTAAAGTGGATTAGTTATAGTGAAATCGGGTGATCAAGTGTTTTAATCATTAGCTTTTATTATTATTATTTTTTATTCGTTTATTTATTATTCTCATTTATTCCGTCGTTCAAATAATTTTAGGGTTAACCAATTTTGATACTTAATCAAAATTAACACAATCCTCGTGGGAACAATACTTCACTTATCACTTTATTACTTGTCTGTGATATTGTGCACTTGCAATTTTTACAACAATTTAACATAAACATCTATCGGAAATCGAAAATGAAATCATGAGGCTGAGAAATGAAAAGCCCCAAAGAGGTGGAACCACAATAGATGAAGAATCACTGTGTGTAAGTCCATGGGCAGCCATCACCAACCACCACCCCATACACATGCCCCTAAAAGAGATGCCACACCACAAAGACCAATCCAACCCCTTAAAAAAAATCTCAACACTTTTGGAGGCCCTACACATTTGGCGTCGGTGAAACCACAAGGAAACCACCATCGACGCTGAGCACCTCTATTAGCGTTTATACCCTTAAGAATAATTCTAACACTGATATATTAGTATTTTGATTTTAATAAAGGAATATCTATATGTATCATATATCAATATTATACTACTTTATATTTATATTTATATTTATTTAATATATGTAAAAAAAAGCAAACTAGAAGTCCAAGATTGTCATTCTAAGTCTTTAGACCATGCATATTATGTGAAGAATATGCATAAGACAGGAATATAAAGATGATAGTCTAAATTAAATGTTTCGTAATCGAGAGAATAAAGTTGAGTGCTTTATTCATGATAAGATTGTTATGCTGTTTACTTCCTAACGACGATAGCTTGGCTTTGTCATCGGAGTGGGACTCTGTGCGCAAAGACATTGATGTAATTCTATTGGTGGAATATATAATGGATGAGAATAACGTTGAATTGTTTTAATTAATAATTCCATTGGAATAAAAATTTTTAATTTTAACAAATTATATGTGATCTATCTTAGAGGCCATTTTTCTTAGGCATGTCCAGAAAAATGTAAGGATCCTGTCTGTAAAATTTCATAATTTTGTGACGTCGTTTTTATTTTATTTTATTTTTCAAAGACGAAAAATAAAGAAAATCATAAAAAATAGAATATTCATCAAAAAATGGTGTCGCTTGTTGCATTAATTCCTAAAAATCCTATATTAATTTTAGAATGAAAAACATAAATAAAAATGTAAATTTTTGACCTATCCCAGCCCCCGGGCGCCCATTACTTGGGCTAGGGGCTTTTTGACAGCGTTTTACTTTTTTTTTTTTTTTTATCATTTTTTGATGCCAATTATTGTAAGCATCCCCAAAAAAAAAAAAAAAAAAAGGATCGTGTCTGCAAAATTTCATAATTTTGTGACGTCATTTTTATTTTATTTTATTTTTCAACTACAAAAAATAAACAAAATCATAAAAAAAATATTGATCAAAAAATGGTTCTGCTTGTTGCATTAATTCTTAAAAATCGTATATTAATTTTAGAATGCAAAACATAAATAAAAATAGAACTTTTTGAGCCATCCCGGCCCCTGGGCGCCACACTATGCGGGCTGGGAGCTTTTTGACAGCGTTTTACTTTTTCTTTGTCATTTTTTGAGGCCAATTTTTATAGACATGCCCAAAAAATGTAAGGATGGTGTCTGAAAAATCTGATAATTTTTTGACGGCATATTTATTTTATTTTATTTTTCAAAGATGAAAAATAAAGAAAATCATAAAAAATAGAATATT